ACAACCAGCTCGAGTAGACATTAGTTCTCAACGAAACGCGAACTGTATTGCATTACCTTATGAATCACACTATTCCATCTATGCCTAGGAGTGATGGTTCTTCAGCTATCTCCTTAACTCCGATTTCGATTGATCGGGTAGTATGAAAAGTGGTGGCAGTGGTATGACCGAAAAAATGTACACAAACTTGACGTGATCTTCCATTTTCCGTTGGTCTCCGTGTTCATTGTGCATAATTTTTGACATGTTTGCTGCAGTGATAGCTCAATACTACTATTTGAACTACAAAGCCACACCAATGACACATTTTACGCCTACATGATTCATTGCTCATGGTCGAATTTGCCAATCTCCTCAACCAACAGAAAGACAGGAAGATGCATCCAGTGTTGCTCACCGAATTGCGTCAAGCAGCGATCAAAAAAGCCCCAGTATGGNGTCTCGGGTTGCGGCTGGTCACCCTACCCTAGCATCTCACGAAATGCTCCAATACGACCAAGTGTCTCGATTAGCCTCTGCTGAGAAAGCCCTACTCACTGTCTTTCCGTGATGGTGTTTTCCCGTCAAAATGAGAGGACGAAAAGTCGACATCCGGGGCTGTAACCGAGTTAGTGGACCACTGGTAGTTCCAATAGGGGAGTTCGCTAACAACTCTAATTCTAAACCAACCGAGAGGAAGTGCACGAACCACACACCTGCCCGATTGTAGCTGTGATCACCGGCTTGACTGGGCATCGAGGTGTATTGGACGTTGGACGTTTGATCCCGATGAATTGGACACCGTCCTCCAATGGATTGCGATTTTCGCACACCGCACCCCTGCCTTGCGGGTCAGGGTTTGGCCAGTCGAGGGCTTCGGTTGCGGATTCCTCAAGATAATTCATCTGTCTTGACCTAGGCAACCAGGTAGTATTCAGCCCACGAGAAAAGTATGGATCTTTGTCTGATTTTTAGGATTATTGTACCCTGATTTGTTTGGCACACAGTCTGGCCTCAGACGTGTGTGACATTATATATATATTGAAAAGGAGAAGGCGAGCACTGAGTGATAGTATTTATTGTGACGTTTCGA